TCAATACATTCATGAAGTTCTAGTGAGAAGCCATGACTGCTGGAGTTCAGGTATATTAGGGGTAAAACAGTTATACGAAATAGGATTAGATGATCGTCACGTTATATCACACATTGATTGAAGCTAAAATCGCACCATCGAACACTGATCAGGTGGTTTGGATGAGTAGGTGTTAACTACAAAATCTTAAAGTCCTGGTTTCAGTTTCTAGGATGAGCTTCGCAGTATTGAGGAGTCTAATACTACGATGAAATAGCTCAACAGCCTTTAATGACCTGTTAAACAAAATTAATCTAGGACGGATAAAATCGATAAAATGGAACTAATTTCTATAATACATCCTCAACAAAACTAAGATATAAATAGAAATAATATATTTGTAGTATCTCAATGAGCTAGAAAACTAATTTTTTACAATTTCCTGACGTTTCGTGACTCATTGTAAGCCACTTCTTCAGAAAATAAAGAAACAAATCAAATTAACCTAAGTTTACATAGTACAAAGGAACAAAGCAATAACATTTGGTGCGATCAATCGAAAACAGGTCTGGTCAAGTCAGTGTCATATCATTCCGGTCAAAGGTGATCTATACGAGGTGTAACTGTATATTTGTGTACGTGTATGTATGTTAAAGGATGAAAAATTTGACATGTGATGCGAAAGGATAAATAAACAAAATTTAAGCACGCTAGTTAGAAAGAGATGCATGTATGAATCACGAAATAACTTACCCATGGATTTGTAGGAGGTCCTTCAACATAACCTAATTGATTTCCTGAGGAGTCCAGTAAAACTATTCGAGAAATTGTAGCACCCCTACGCACAGTACAGAATAGTAAATGGATCACCACATTAAGATAGCATAAAACATTGTGAAATAGTATGTAAGTTCAGATTGATATATTATAGCACAGAAGAAAAAAAGATAAATATAAAACGATTTTTGGCTAAATGGAGTGAACAAGTGTGGAAATTTTAAACCTTTCAATAAAGCATACAAACGTTTTATTGTTAAAAGGTGTTATAGGAGTGTTGAATAACCTAGAAACAAGATCTTTAAAAATTCACATATAAACTAGTATTAAATATGCACTCATTAATTCTCTGGTTTGAGGACTTCACTATACATGACTACTTATTCCTTTATGCGTATATACCAGAAATGTTCTTCCCATTTGACGACTGAGAATGAGATTTTAAATAAATAGCTGTTTGATTTAACTAACCATTTAACTGAGGTTTTCCGCCAGTAGTGTGATTAAAGACCTTTGGTGAGGTTACTTAGGGTTTTACAATGCGCATGAATGCAGATATACATTCAGAAACCGTAAAAAACAGTACTCACTAGTCGTGTTTATTCCACCTACACCTAAGTTCACAGAAATGACTGATAATAACTTCAATGATCAATTTCGGACCCACTAACAATCAATAGCTGAAGTGCTAAAAGCATGGAAATTAATTTTTGAATCCGTATCATTGTAGTAAACCTGTCAAAAGCTGTGAATCACAGTTTCGGAGTTATTCTATTCATAATAGGATTTGAATTCATCAGACGGAGGTTGATAATTGCAAAATGAAAGACCTTTTCAGTTGTTTTCAAAATCCAATCCAGCGCGCTACAATGCCGCACTTCCCAGAGTAATGCCTCGTTATTCTTGTAAATCTACATTTATTATTATTAGTCAAGCTTAGTTGCATCCCTCATTATGCGCTATTACAGTCAAGTGTAATATTTAGTTGGAAAGGTTGTACTTATATACCCAAAAGCCATTTGCTGCATACACATTCATCTAAGGTGGTACTAACAGTATAAAAGATTACAATATATATTTAGAGTATATTGTAACCATGTTCGTATTTCTGCATTAAATCATAAGGAAAATCTACTTAGTGAAGTGCAATGATATTATCTGATTATCCAGCTCATGTAATTCTGAACTTTTCTGAATGCAAAAGTAACGCAGCCTAAGTAAGTTAGCGATTTTAAGTTCAGTGTTACCAAAAAAAGAGAGATGGAACGTCAGTAGAAAGTAACCTATGACATTTTACTATTTTATTGTGCAACTGACCCTATGAAAACAATATCAAGCAAGAAACGTCCAAAGAATTCTATTGCAACCCGTGAGGGTTGTGATTTTTTCACAAACCTAAGGATTCAGTAAGCAAGTTATTTATTTATTTGAACAGAAATGTTAGTACAAAGGGAAAGATGCATATGCGCAAGTTAGAAACATCCACATTCAAGAGACATGCTTTACATAAGATTTAGAGAACACGAAACAATTACATACTTACCCTTCTATGCCGGCGATAAGTAAAGCCATAGAAAGTTTGGTTTAACAGATACGCCGAAATGTTGAATGTGTAGACTTTTCCAAATCAAAATTCCTGTTTGGTGTTCACTGGCCAATCAGCATCAGTTGGGGAGAAATCTTGACGGTTTTCTAGATAAGTTGCATGTAATACACTCTGTAAAGTAAATTTATTACAAAGTTTCATCATAACTATGACTATACATCAATGACTGGATAAGAAAGGATAAACCAATATAGAACGCGAATTCGTCCACAAAAGGAAAATTTTATTCTTCCTTATTACTTACAATGATTTGCAGTTGCTAAGGTAAGAAATCCCTGGTGAATGAATCATGATTTAAAAGTTCGCCTTATCGAACTACTGGGGTAAGACTTAACTGTTCTTTCGGTTGTATTCTAACAACATGCCTACACTTCCACTGTCACTCAAATAACGACATTGTTGCGTTATAAGCCAATTGGTATCTTAATTATACGTGAAATAGTAGACACGCTCACCTACTCCACTCTGCATTATTTACAGCTGGATAGCTTAGAGGTGTCCTGTCCTACTTGATTAGGAATAATTAGGAAGTTGTTTATTTGCATAAGTGAACTATCCTTGCATAAGACGTTGATTATACTAAACGGCGATATGATATGTGGAGGTTTAACAGGTGGATTGAAGTTAACAAAGATGGAACATACATTAATAACTCATAAGGAATACGACCTTCCACATGCAATTAACTACTTGATAAAGCAAAGATAACCTCTTCCAACAATACACTGTTTTCTGAAAAGTACTGGGCTTCATAAAGTTACATACGTAATTCGTTATGGAAAATTTTTTCCAAAATCTTACTTGGCTTAATAAGTTCGTTTACAAAAGGTCAAAAACAACCGACCAATTGTCTATTTCATCACCGATGCAAACAGACCGAACTATTCAGTCTTGTGTCAATAAAATTGTAACGCGGTTAAAATCATCTCGCACGATGTTGTTAATAGATTCTGTTTTTCTTTCTATTGCAGGGTAACCAAGAATAAATGCTTTAGAAGAAGAAGAGCAAGCTCTGCATGCACTGAACCTACAGGATGACTCCTAAGACTGTTTTGTAAACTAGCTCTCCCTTCTGTACATAACCCGTCTAAATTAATTTAGACGAACCCCCTGTAATTCCAATGAAGGCTGAACCTGGTTCAACCCCTCGCCAACCACCACTGCCTGAAACTTCACCAGATTACTCCGTCTGGAAATTTAAAGTCACAGCGTATCTACAGAGTCCCAATGGCCGAACATTTCAACTACCTCATATCCTATTTGAGTGATGAAGCAGTACGAAGGGCTACAGCCAATGGTTTCGCGGCAAGTAACACGCTTCCACAAAACTGGAGAATCTTAGATGACAGTTTTTCCGTGCCCGTGGACACCCAACAGGTGACGATCCAGTTCTTATCACGTCACCAAAAAGCAAGCGAGAACCCAATCGACTACCTTAATTCCTTGCAGCAAATCGCGGTACTGGCATTCCCTCGTTTAGATGTCATGGGACGAGAGGAATTAATACGCTCACGTTTTGTCGAAGGGCTGGTGCCTGGTCCACCAAGAGAACATTTTCTTCGAAGCCCACCAGTTGATACACCTGACTTAAGAAGAACAATACTACGTTTCCTGGCTGCAGACAAACTAGCGAATTTATCAGATGCACATCCACCATCAGTGATGGCTGTGGAACGACCCACAGGATCTAGTGGCCTGGACAGTTTCCAGAGGACAATGACTGTTACCGACTGTTTGCATTGGTCTGTGGAAAGTAGCCGGAGCATTCGTTAAACCAAAAAGCATCACTTGAAATTCATATGGACCATCTGGTACTATAAATGCGGTTTCCTTCCTATCTTGCGGTCGGACTTTTACTTCCCAATACCAAGATAGTATGTCCAAAGTCGAAAACCAACATGCGCCTTTCAAGGCGTTTAATGTAGCACCGATCCGCGGAAGCAGAAAGGAATCACGTTATGACAATAAGGCGTCGATAATCTACGCAGAGTCGTAGAGAGGAGTATTTCTTTTTCACTAGGACAATAGGTGATGCCCAGGGAGATGAAGAAGGAACTATGATCTTTTTGTCTAGCATATCTTTTATTATTGCATCCAGTTGCGGTTGGTAGTGCACTGGTACTTTGCGAAGTGGTTGTCGAAGTGGCATATGGTCACCTGTGAAAATGGAGTGTTGCGCTGTAGTTGTTTGATTTCCGGAAATACCTTCAAACACAGAACTAAACATGGAATCAACGCCGAGAATCATGTCCCAAGTCAATGTTGGAAAAACTAAGAATTCATACCGAAACTGTCTTTCTATTGTGAGGTCTAACCACGCCTTAGAACACACTTTCAGCGGATCACCACTTGCTGTGAGTAACGTAGAAAGATATCGAGTTTGTTGAGTTTTATGGTTAATTTTCCTTAAGAGCTCTTCCTTGATAAGAGATACTGAAGCTCCCGTGTCTAGTAGTATTTCTATCTCAACGTTTTGCACTCTACCCCCAGACGTAATCAGGTTGACAGGATTAACATAAGATAAATAGCAGACGCCGCTTACCTGGCTTACGGGAACGGATGTGGCCGATTCTCCTGGCATTCCTGCCAAACCACTTGTAATATATATACAATCGGCTTGACCTCCATGGTAGTTGTTCTATTCTGGTTGTCTATTCCATCTCGAACTAGGCTGCCCGAGGCTGGAAAAGTCTGCAACAGCCATTGTCCTCTGGAAACTGTCCAGGCCACTAGATCCTGTGGGTCGTTCCACAGCTATCACTGATGGTGGATGTGCATCTGATAAATTCGCTAGTTTGTCTGCAGCCAGGAAACGTAGTGTTGTTCTTCTTAAGTCAGGTGTACCAACTGGTGGGCTTCGAAGAAAATGTTCTCTTGGTGGACCAGGCACCAGCCCTTCGACAAAACGTGAGCGTATTAATTCCTCTCGTCCCATGACATCTAAACGAGGGAATGCCAGTACCGCGATTTGCTGCAAGGAATTAAGGTAGTCGATTGGGTTCTCGCTTGCTTTTTGGTGACGTGATAAGAACTGGATCGTCACCTGTTGGGTGTCCACGGGCACGGAAAAACTGTCATCTAAGATTCTCCAGTTTTGTGGAAGCGTGTTACTTGCCGCGAAACCATTGGCTGTAGCCCTTCGTACTGCTTCATCACTCAAATAGGATATGAGGTAGTTGAAATGTTCGGCCATTGGGACTCTGTAGATACGCTGTGACTTTAAATTTCCAGACGGAGTAATCTGGTGAAGTTTCAGGCAGTGGTGGTTGGCGAGGGGTTGAACCAGGTTCAGCCTTCATTGGAATTACAGGGGGTTCGTCTAAATTAATTTAGACGGGTTATGTACAGAAGGGAGAGCTAGTTTACAAAACAGTCTTAGGAGTCATCCTGTAGGTTCAGTGCATGCAGAGCTTGCTCTTCTTCTTCTAAAGCATTTATTCTTGGTTACCCTGCAATAGAAAGAAAAACAGAACCTATTAACAACGCCATGTATGATGATGTAACGCGGTTTCATTCAGCAACCTATCCTATTGCAGACTAAGGGCAGATCTAATCTTGATGTACAGAATACTGAGAAATGATTTCGGACTTAACTTATTCTCTCTCTTTCTTCTCCCTAGATCGAGACACCTCAGAGGACGTAGCAGGCTAGTAGAAAAGCCAAGAACGAACAAAATACCCGTGGCATACAGGTTTTCACAGCGAGTTATCAATACTTGGAACCTGCTGCCTGAAGCAGTGGTGTCCGCACCTTCAATTGACTCTTTCAAGAGAAGACTGGGCACTCACAGAAGCATACTAGAAAAGGAATAACATAGGCCGTAGGCCTTCTGTCCTTACTACACAAATCTGAATCAAATCTGAAGACCAAACTCACCTCCCCGCTTCAACAACCTTGAAGAGAAACAATAAGAAAACACACAGATTGATATATTCAAAATTTCAAATTGAGGGCAGAAGGCCTTTTATGTGTGTAAGTATCTCCATAGTAGGCTTCTTAGATCGTATAGTCCTCTTTTTAGTGATTCATTTGAACGGCTGACACAACTTCGTGTTACAGTTTCAGGGATTGATGATTGTATACTACAGATACTACAGGCCTGCAGCCTAAACGATGTTTTCAGTTTTTGAATCTTACTAGGTTAAGTATGTTGTTGTGAAAATAATAACATTTAACTCGGTTAATTTCCATCTTAAAGCCCGAAATATTTTAGATTCTTTAGTTGTTACCTCGCAGCAGTGGCCCGTAGTATTGAGAACATGACTCACTATCACATCAAGATCGTTCTCAGACCGGACTATGGGAAATGACTCCTGACCTGCGGTGTACCTATTTACCATTGTATCTACAATGTACACACAGACACACTTGGCCACATTGATAGGCATTAGCCACTTCTAGATCAGCTAATCAGAAAGTACAAGTTCACCCGAACTCCTGAAGTTATTTCCTGCCAAATGTTAACATCATCGGCGTATAGTAAAGTTGTGGACTCAGTTACACTCCAGAATTTATTTTTACATGTAGTACAAAAAGTAAAGTACCTAGGACAGAGTCTTGAGGTACTCCACTGAGTACTTGTTTCCAAGAGGATTATTTGAATTTCATCTTTACTTTCTGCCTACGGCCTACCAAGAAATCTCTTCGGCTGCCTAATTATAGACTGAACCAACTGCCTTTCATATTTTCGCTATTTACAAATCTAATATTCAATATTGAAAATCTTTGTAATAACCTAGGGCAAACTAAGAAAGTTTTCGAACTCACTCCTAGTAGTTATGGTACGACTTCTACATTTTAGAAGTGGTCATTAATCGACAGTTTATCCATTCAACGTGACTAGTTGAGGGTTTGTACATCTCTTAATTTTGACAAGTGTGTTTGTTTCATGCTTATAATTTTTCAGAGGACAGAAGCTCCTACAGTATAAGGCAACAGGTTTTTGGTAGCGAAATGGAAAACAATAAGCAAATTTTCCATTTTACGCCATCAAACGAGAGGCGATGGTCAGAAGAACGGAGAAAAATCAATCAATAATGAATTAGATGCGTTACATCATGAATAAACAAAAGCTTTAGAATAACTGGTAACCATATATAATGGGAAACGAGTAGGCAGTTTGGCTGATGGCATGTGATAATAATAATAGTAATAGTAGACAGGTAGTGAGATATTCATCAGGTACTTCTCATCAATCGAAAAGGATTGTAAGGTGTTAGCAAGGAACATTGTATAACGGGAAGAGCTCCGTTTGTGTTAGCTGCGTCTTCTGTTAAGTTTTAATCGGTTTCCAAATAACCTACGGCTGGCAATCCCAGATTGATTTGTTTAGAGATAGTTGCGAGAGCATTTTCGCCAAGGATATAAGTTGTTTTTGTCACGTGGCTCTTAATCTTAATCGAAAGACATCTTGACAGGACTGTTAACCACCCATTTCCCTAATGTCGTGATATTGTTTCTTAGCCTGAGGGGACCAAGATATAATTGCGTCAAAGGAACCCATCACACTGACGTTTTTTATAAAGAGTGCGTGGAATATCGTATAGTGTTGCTGCTTTTAAACGTGGTAAATATGTTTTAATCGACTTTCAGAACAACATTAAAACGAAAAAGGTGGAAACCGAGTTTCTTTAAGCGTACTTGTGGTTGATCGTCAAAAAATCTGATTATATGGGTTAATATAAAGATTTTTGTCAATGCCTTCACGTTGTTTAAACTGATTACTACTGTTATTTAATGGTAACTTATTCATAAATAAGTTTCAAAAGGAAACCATCTGTACATACTGTTTGCTTCGTCTGGATTTTAAAATTGTTCTTATTATGGAAGATGTTAGTGTTGTCTGTCTTCCATCGACTGCAAAGTGTAAGAATATGATGAACTATACAGCCTATATTTCGTAATCGATCGGGCTTGCCTGGAAGAGTTCGTCTTCTTATGTATAAGCAAATGACGGCAACGACACCGACATGTCTCAGTTTTTCCACGATTCAGGTTACATCTGCTCGCAAAACATTTCGCTTCAACGTAAACAGAACAGGACACACCTGACCAAAGTTATCTCCAAAATTTACCCAAATCCGACAAAATGTTCCACAAATTGGGGAGCATGGAGAGTTACGCAGCAACATCGGTCCGACGTGTGCATTACAAGATAGAGAGAGCTAAATCAATGTTCTTCGCGATGATTTTGTGGTTTCGCTGCAGCAAAAGACCATTTAAATATGAGAACACCTGTCATTCGTGCAACCTAACGGACACCTAACAAACCCACAGCATTTGAAATACGGAGTGACCGCCCCCTGTGAAGCCGTTCAACATCGATTAAACGGAACGGCGGGCAGACTTGTAAGGGTCTGACTTTTTCCGTGCCTTCTAGTCTCATTGGGAATGCAGTAGTACGCAAGAGCACTAATATTTTCGATATAATATTCACAATACTCAGACAGATTTTATCATATTTAGAAGAATAATAATTTTACGTTATAGAGAAAGAATAAAAAAGATAAAACTTGTGTACATAATTAATAAATTATGTTTGTGAAGGAGAGTGTTAATAAACTGTGTTATATGTATTAAGTGTATAATTTATATACGACCTTTGAGCAACGCCAAAATAACCTTGAAAATGTCCATATACTTACTAGTAGTAAATGAGTGTTATATACCAGTGCGAAGAACTAGGATTAGGATTTACAGTTGAACGTTAGGGTTAGAATTATATTCATCATGAACTGTTATCAACTATAGTGCCAAAACTCTACTTAGCCAAATGGGTAAATGAATCTTGCGCCAAAATCTAAGGTCTGTTATCTTAAATCTGACTAGTTCGTCCATAAATTATAGTCTCATCTTTGTAGTAAGATTAATACCGGAATAAGAGTTTGTGCAGCAATAGTTTAGGATGATGCAATGAAATTCTCAATTAATAGCAGAAAAAGATGGTCAACGATCATTGATCAAATATTATCCTTATTGTTCCGTTGTACTATTTAAACTTGCATTAATTTAAATTCGGTTATTCATTCTCTGGAGAAGTGACTTACACTAAGTCACGAGACGTCAGAAAATCTAATTTTCTACTCATTTGGATATTACAAATGTATTAACTATTTATAACAATCTATCCAATTCCCAATTCATTCGAAATTATCAAATCAAACCTTGGTAATGATACATACAAACTATTAATAAACACCTGTATCTTCTGGATGATGACCTTCGTAGTTTTTCAGGTTTCCGCCTCTTACAGTAGAACTGTCTTGACATTCGTATTGAAAATTCCGAATTCGGTGTTGGTTGACAGTTGTTTTGAGTTCCAGATCTTCAGTTTTAAATATGCTGGTCTTGCTTTGCCAATCCTCGCCTTCACATCTGCATCTCACCCAGAGAGTTAATAATGATGTTGCCCGGATATATGAAGGTTTTTACATCTTCCAAATCTTTTCCGTCAAGTGTGATTCGATTGGTTAAAAATTGTATTGTTTCAGAGAATCTTGCTTTTCCTTTGTTTATGTTCACCATCATATGAATGCTGTATGATATTGACTATCTTCTGAGGCACGCCGTAGTGTCAAAGAAGCTTCCATGTTGTTTTGCCCACGCTGTCAAATGCTTTATTATAGTCAATGAAGTTGATGTAGAGTGATGAATTCCATTCATTTGATTGTTCCATAATGATCCGTAGAGTTGCGATTAGGTTTGCACACGATCTGTCCTTACGGAATCCTGCCTGTTGGTCTCGAAGTTGGGCGTCTACGCAGTCCTTCATCATGTTTAACTATACCCTGTTGAAGACTCTTCCCGGTATTGAGAGAAGAGTGATACTCCTGTAGTTATCACAGTTGGTGAGATTGCCTTTATTCGGTATTTTGATCAGGAGTCCTTCTTTCCAGTCTGTTGGTACTTGTTCCCCATCCCAAATCTTATTGAAGAGAATGTGGAGTATCCTTGCGGTTACCGCAATGTCTGTTTTCAGTGTCTCTGCTGGAATGTTATCTGGCCCTGCTGCTCTGTCGCTCTTGATTTTCTTGATGGCCATGATGATCTCTTCAATTGTTGGTGGGCCAACATTGATTGGTAGGTCCCTGAGTGCTTCTTCGACGTTGGGTGGGTTCAGTGGAGCTGGTCGATTCAACAGTTCTTTGAAGTGTTCTACTCACCCGTTTCGCTGTACTCCGATGTTGGTGATTACTTTACCCTTCTTGCTTTCACTGGTCGTTCTGGTTTACGGTGATTTGCAGAGAGTTTCCTCGTTGTGTTTTACAGTTGTCTCATAGTTTCTTCTCTTG